TACGGTACAGCAGCTGCTGTCCTGTGCTCCATCGTCCCAGCTTGCCTTGCTGTCTTCTTTCTCCTGCTGTTGATGAGGTGTGCCCAGCCTGGCCCTCCATGCCAAGAAGCCCCTTTGTGTGAAGCCAGCAAAAGCAAGCCCTTTGCAAGCCATTTCTCCAGCAAATGATTCCTACACGTGGCTCCCTGAACCAACCCCTGGCCCTTTCCCATTGCTTTGCGTAAAGTATTATTTCATTAATAGTAGTAGTAGTAGTAATAATAATAATAATAATAATAATAATTGCCCCTTTATGCAAAGCCTGCAAAAGCAAGCCCCTTTCTGAAGGCTCAGGGAGCCTTGTGTAGGAAACGTTTGCTGGAGAAGTTGGGTCTGAAAAGCAGACAGCAAAGGCAGTAAGGTGCTTCTGCTTCGGCTGTGGGGGAGAGGCGCGAAAGGTTGGTGTGGGGAACTGGGAGAGAAGGCAGCTGGGTGAATGAATGCTCCCTGGGGTGGCTTGGGGCAGCTTGGAAGGGCTGGGCTGGGGCATCTGCAGGTTACAAACAATCAAACAGACACCAGAGTTTTAGTAGTATATAGATAACAGATTACAAATAGAAGCCCAAGCAGCTTTTTAGAGAAGGCAACTCAACATTAGATGATTGTCTGGGCTTTATTCATTTGACAAAGTACTCTAGCTCTTGTAAGGAAAATTTATTTCAGCACTTATAAATTTAAGGAGGGCATTTGATTCCTTCCCACAGAGATAATCTATGGTTAACACTAGAGAGATTTCCTGTAGACAGGTGACTAATTCTCCTTGTTAAACCTTTGTATAAGAATAGCCTTCTGCAGGCCAGATGTGGTAGCTAAGGCCTCCTTGCAGATGTCAAGGTGAGGATGCATTCTTGCTCCTACTTTGTTTAACATATATTTAAAAGACTTGTTATTCCAGCCAAAAGACCCATCGCTAACTGTGGGTAACAGGAAAATTTGTGTGCTGTTACAGTAAATGCAGATAATGTTGTCCCATTACCACAAACTAGATTAGGGCTGAGGTGCCTTTTAGCTACATTTGCTGATTGCTGCAAGGAATTTTTTTTCAAACAAATTAAGGAAAATTCAGTATCCTGGTTTTGGAGGGGAAAAAAAGCTGTTTATAGATGGGGTATCTATATCAGCCAGCAGAAAAGATTAGAAGTTTTATTCATCTGGGAATACTGTTCTAACAGTCACAATCATATTTTCCTACCATAGCTTTGTATTCCAGAAAGCTGAACCCATTCACTTCTCCCTGCTTTGCTTTTTCTACCTTGGTGGTGGGAAGTTTGTTTCAGCTACAGTATAATTCAGGTTTTTAAAATATTAAGCACTCCCAATTTCAATTTAGATCAAAGCAGCTTCTAAAGCTATAACTGACCTTCAGGAAAACTTCCTGCGGGTTCTCTTAAATGTCTTAAGTTGTCTCAAATACTATTATCCTCAAGACTGGAAATCCCCTTTAAAACTGAAGACTGGCTGTTTGCAGTAAAATATGGCTCCAAACATATGTTTTAAAAAGTAGAAGCAGGTTAGCGCTTGAACTTTTGAATGATAGCTTCACCAGCTTTAGAACTACATGATTAAGAACATTTCCCATGTTGGTTTGTTACTGCACGATTTTTTTTTCAAAGGGGTTATAAATCTGCTTCCATTCTCACTAAATACCAAAGATTATGGGTCATCTTTATTCAGGAGACAATACAGAAATCTAAATCATGCTGGTTGTTTTGGAACTGTGGCACCAGTTATAATTATGCCTTCCAGGTGGCCTTCTATTTAAGTAATCTTAGCCATAATAAATACTGGATCACTTTTACTAAAGTTAGATCAATTGTCTTGCCATTACATAGGTTGAAAGATAAATTTGATGGTATCTCTGCTGCACAAAGATTTGGCCCTTACAATCGTAACGAGGTAATGTTCAGGGAGCATTCTATTAGTTTGTAATTTTTATGTGGGTGCTCACTTGATTCTGATCTGGCCTGAATTAAAAATGGTATCAGGCAGATCTAACTTTGAGTATGTAAAGTTTTTGCTGTCTGATAGAGATCCCAAGAGGACTCTTGTGACAATCACTTTTTTTTATGGTGGCTATCAAACTAAGGATGAAGCTAATGAATTAGTTAGGAATGGTTGAATTTTTAATATTTTGTCAATAGTTAACCAGTGTTTAACATTTACTATTTTTTTTTCTCCATTGCCTAGTGTAATAACTTTAGTAAACTTTATATTCTGTTCTGTTTCATGCTGGGTCTCTTGACTGTAATAAAGCTATTATTACTATTAAATAGCTGGTCCCATAAATATTAACCCTCCTGTTAAGAATAAAACATTGTTCTGATCACAAAGGCTTATATTCATACACCAGTAAGGAGGAGAATGTATGTTGTACCTGCGGATATTTTGTTCCAGTTTATTAATTTGGTGTTGATCCTCTCGATGCTGGTTTTGCAGTTCTTCTTGTTCTTCTGGAGTAAGTGTACTTAATCCATCCCAGAGCCATTTCTCACGCAGAGCTTTTTTCTACACATATATTTAAAAATACTCATTAAGAATTTCCTCTGTCTATCACACCTCTAACACATATTGCCATCATAGCTAGATGTCAGTTCCACCCTGAAGAATAAGTGAATAAAGGATATCATTTATTATTATCATCAGTGATGTTGCTCAAGTTCCATGAACTAATTTGTTGCATCCTTTCCTATCCCTTTCCTCTTCTGATTGGGGGAACAGCTGGACAGGCGCAATCTTGTTTCATTTGTATCATTTCCTTCCACTTTTGTGTGATGGTAATACACAAACTACCTGGGGGAAGTTTCTGGGAAAAAACTGATTAGTATTTTGTTTATTTTGAGAATGGAGCATGGCCAAGGATGCCAGATACTTTTTTTTTTATGAATTCTGATATGAACAGCTCAATCAATTCCACTAAGTACAATGAAGCAACCTGCAGGGTGGAGTGGTAACCTGTGGACTTTCAGACCATGTTGAACTACAAATTTCAGGGGACTCAACCAGTATAGCCAATGCTAGGTGATGCTAGGACCTGCAGGTCATCAAACTATGGGGAGTCACAGATTCCCTCTCCTCTTGCATAATGCTGATCTGTGCATTTGTAAGGGTCAAAGAATTTATGGGGGATAGCAAAGGAGGGAGATTGTATCATGTTCCTTATTTTCTAATCATGGGCACTTCAAGAACACTACATCTGCATGAGTCCAAAATAATTATGTCAATGGCTGAGTGATTAAAACAGCAGCAAAATGAATCTGAAAGAAAAGGAGGATGGGAAAATATACATCAGAAAAGTAATGGGAAAGAGTAAGTGTTTGGAGAAAGAGGAAATGTATATTATATGTCCCATACCTTAGATTATTCATCCCTTGATGCTTTCCATGTGAACTGTCTCAACAGGAAATGTATTGTGTTTGGATTGGAGATAAAATGCAATCTGAGATTTCTATCCTTTATATTATTTCATTCATGTGTAGATGATTTCTCATGTATACATGGAAGCAGATGAGAAACATGTATGTGTGAACTCTGCGTGTTATGCAGTTCCATCTTAGATATCATGGTGTCTTGTATATTGCACCAAAGAGGCGATACTAATACCGAGTGATACACTAAGACTTTCAGAATGACACGAATGGCAGAAGGTTACATTTCCTTGCATAGATCACATTTCATTTCATTTCGTTCCTGTTACTGTTAGTAGTAGCATGAACTCCTGTCATTAAGACCTCATGCATTCTTAGGATGTGTACAATCCCCCAAGCTAGCCAGAAGCAAAGAATTCCTGTAATAGTTCTTCAGCATCCAATCATTCCATAAACTGAAATAAATCTTGCCTGGGGCTAGCCATGTTTCTGGTGTTCTGTATTATATTTTAAAGAAATGTTTAAAGCATAAAATCTTAGAAAGCCCCTTTTAAGACTCTGCCTTCTGCCGAATCCTTTTATTACTGCTCAGCTATTTTATCCTTGGTTGGAAAATTTTATTTTTGGTGGAAGAAGTGATAGGATAAAGCAGTGCAACAAATGGAGCTACATACTTTTATCGGTTCATAACTCATATGGTGGAACTGACGGATCAGGGTTTCTCAAAGTGCATTCTGTGGAACTCTAGGATTCCTTGAGAACTTGATGGGGTTCTGTGAGAGATTAAGGACTCCCCCCCCCAAAAATCATCCAAACAAGGTCAATTTTCTATCCCTAGAGCTTTGCCTCTTGATCAGGGGTTCTGGGAATTTTTTTTTTAAACTAAAGATTACTTTATCCCTTATATGCCTGCCCAGCAGTTAAGGTGGAGTAGGATGCCTTCTTTAATGTGTCGTACTTGCCAGACATTTGCTATGCAGCAACCCAAGGAGGGCCTTTTTAATAATGGACCCTGATTATGGAATTTGCCTTTCTGTCCATCTATGATTGACATCAAGTCTAGTTAACTTGCAGCATAAAATGCCTTCTCGTTCACCAAAGCTTTGGGATAAATTTAAGCTGCTATGTCAGTTAATATGCTTCTGTTGTTATGGCCTTGGTTTTTTAATGGTTCTAATTTTGTATCGTTTTGCACAGTTTTAACTTCTGAACGTAGTGTGGCTTTATTGCTTTGTTTTATTGCGTCTGCTCAGGGATTTCCTTTAATGAAACATGACTTAGATGGTCATAAATAAGATACATTACATAATTGATGTGTTATTATTTCATAAGTGTCTTGTCCTCAGTCCTGTGAAATGCCCTTTGGTGCTTAAGAGGCTTTGTTTGTTTTTAATTGCAAGGTTATGGGCAGCTGGTGAGGCTTACCTTTCCTGTAAGAACTGATTGGTCATTCCCTGCTTCTTGCCCTTCCCATCCGCACAGGAAAGGCAAGGCTCACTGGCTGGGTCCCTGTGGACCAGTCCACAGTCCTGGAGTTATGCCCTCCTTACTATTCCCTGTGCCTTTCCTTTGCTTTGCACACATGAATGCCTTCACCCTTCTTCCTCACGTTATCTCCTTTGGTCCTTTCTTTTTTCTCATCATGTTAGCACTGTCGCTCTGGTATTACAATAATAAAAGCAATAGGGAACAAGGTGTCCTTGTCTGTAACATATTTCTGCAGTTCAGTGGTACATATGTGGCTCCACAATATGCCAACATCTTTGTGGCTGACTTAGACTTTCAGCTCTTGAAACCATCCCTTTACTTGAGATTCCTTGATGACATTTTCATCATGGACCCATGGAAATGATTTTCTCATCAAATCTGTCATCAACCTCAGTCTTGATCTATCTCAGAAGAAGTTCATTCCTTGATGTTATGGTAAAACTCACAATGGGTACATAAATGGCACGTTACCCAGGAAAGATCACTACGAATCTTACATGCTTCTGGCTTCTGTCCAGAACACACCACCCAATCTGTCATCTGTAGCCAGGCTCTAAACTACAACCACATTTGTTCTGACCCACTTGATAGAGATGCTCAACAGATGGAATCAAACCAGGCTTTTGGGAGACTGTGAACAACCCATCTAATGAGATCAACAGAGAGATCAATACAGCTAAACTGATTCCCAGGAGGACCTATTAAAAGACAGATCACAGAAATAGAACAACAGAAGACCTTTGATTGTGTCAGCCTTACCAGGTAGACCAGACAGGAAACATGACCAGATGAGCTAATTCTACTTTATCGTAAAGCTACATTAACAGAATCTTGCAAGCATGACCAGATGAGCTAATTCTACTTTATCGTAAAGCTACATTAACAGAATCTTGCAAGCATGACCAGATGAGCTAATTCTACTTTATCGTAAAGCTACATTAACAGAATCTTGCAAGTCTGAAAGTACAATTTTCTCCCTGTCACCTTTACACCCCAAGAAACTAGGGAGGGTCTCTTCTGAGCCTCTTGTCCCTCCCACTGTCCAGCTGCAGACTATGCTGTCTCTTATCTGATCGTTCCCTAGGTAGCGGCTCTGGGCCCAGTCTCCCAAGGTCATTCCCACATACCATTACAGGTTGTCATCTACAGCTCACAGCTCAAACCACTGAAATGCATTATTAACAAGCTACAGCCCATACTGAACAATGACACTGTACTTTCTCAGGCACTGGGTATCAGGACTAGCACATAAACAAGCAGCCAACCTGAAGCAAATTCTCACAAGCAGCAAGAAACAACAGGACAATGATGCTAACATGGGAATCAGGCCCTTTAACAAACTCACATTTACACACACACCATTGAAACCAACAGCACCAGCACAGGCCTCAACAACTTCACATATGAGATTAGACCCACTTTCACATGCTCTTCCTCTAATGTGATATATGCCATCATCAGCCAGCAATGTTTCTCTGGATTTACATAGAATA